CAGAACTCGATTATGGCGATTCTCAATAGAGCTCCCACTGACAACTGCAAGGAGAAGAGGGCCACATCTACGCTTTAGCTACTTCGGTCAATCCTTGGTGCCAGCGAGTCCTGCCATAGCCTGTCTACGAGTTGGCTGCATTGGGGAGCGTCCAGCGAGTCCTGCCATGGTCTGTCTACGAGTCGGCTGCATTGGGGAAGCGTCCAGCGAGTCTGCTAAGGTCTGTCTACGAGGTGGCTGCATTGGGGAAGCGTTCAAGGCATGTGGTGTTCCACTGAAATGGAAAACCCTTACAGGTAAGCCTGACTGCAGAGTGCTGACATAGGTAGGAAAAGTCATTAATCCGTTTTTCTTTCTGTTTACAGAACTCGATTATGGCGATTCTCGACAGAGCTCCCACCGACAACTGCAAGGAGAAGAGGGCCACATCTACGCTTCAGCTACGTCGATCAATCCTTGGTGCCAGCGAGTTCTCCCATGGTCTGTCTAAGAGGTGGCTGCATTGTGGGAGCGTTCAAGGCATGTGGTGTTCCACTGAGATGGAAAACCCATAAAGGTAAGCCTGACTGCAGAGTGCTGACATAGGTAGGAAAAGTCATTAATCCGTTTTTCTTTCTGTTTACAGAACTCGATTATGGCGATTCTCGATAGAGCTCCCACTGACAACTGCAAGGAGAAGAGGGCCACATCTACGCTTCAGCTATGTCGATCAATCTTTGGTGCCAGCGAGTCCTGCCATGGTCTGTCTAAGAGGTGGTTGCATTGGGGAAGCGTCCAGCGAGTCCTGCCATGGTCTGTCTACGAGTCGGCTGCATTGGGGAAGCGTCCAGCGAGTCCTGCCATGGTCTGTCTACAAGTCGGCTGCATTTGGGAAGCGTCCAGCGAGTCGTGCAATGGTCTGTCTACGAGTCGGCTGCATTGGGGAAGCGTCCGAGGCATATGGTGTTTTACTGAGATGGAAACCCCTTAAAGGTAAGCCAGGTTATTGGGGAGAGAAATAGACTAAAATGTTTTTTTTTTCAGTTGCAGTCTTTGCCATAAACTTTTCATCTTACTGGTCATTCGGACCTCAACTTTCCCCAAAACTACTGGTCTGAGTCAAGATTAACTGGTCCGAATACAAATTTTAATTAAACTGGACTGGATTGCACTTATTAACAAGACCTTGACATTTTTAGAATTATGATGTAACAGTTACATTAAAAATTAAATCAAATCAAAAGTTTTTTGAAAATTTAAAAAATCTTATGGTCATATGACCAATTTAAACATTCTGACAAATCTACTTGTCCGAACTATAATTAATGTTAGTCATTGATTACACATAAAATCATAAAATAGACATATTGAAACAACAAAGGGTTGGTAATTCAATAAACAGTCTTAAAAATAATTGGAAGGGGTTACCATTTTAGAGAATAAAAGAAAAGGAGATGAGACCCTGGAAATTGCAACTTGAAAACTAAGCGGCTGGACAGCAAGAAGTACAGGGACTTGATAGTGCTGGGTTTGCCTTGGAAGAGCACAGAAGATGACATGAAGGCTTACTTCTCAAAGTTTGGTGAAGTCATCGTGGCACAGGTAGGGCCTACTCATTGCTACTCGTTAAGATCACTGATATGGGCTTCATGAAAAAAGTTTCTTTAAAGTTAGTCTTTAGTTTTTGACCAAAAGGATTAAAATGGAGCAGTCATGAGTTATTACTTGTAACAAATGATTGCAATTTAGATCTTCTAATATAACTAATTACCATTTAGAGTGAACTGCTTATGACGCAGACTGCTTTAAATACACGATTTATTGGAATTAAACGAACTAATGCTATTTTTCCTTTCTGTTTACAGAATTCGATTATGGCAAATCCAGATAGAGCTCCCATTTTTCGTAAGAAGATTCCAGCCATGGTCTGTTTATAAGGTGGCTGCATGGGGGAACATCGGAAGCATATGGTGTTCCTCGGAAATGGAAACCTTCCATGGAAGCCGTAAAAGGTAACTCATGTTATCGCGGAGAATAATACACTAAAGTCATTTTACCTTACAAAATTCTTGAGATAAAGCCCTTAGCCACATTAATTATACAGCTCACTTTCACAAGGCAGTGCATCTTCCCTTTGACTCACTTCTGGACTAAAAAAATTAAGATTAGTGGGTTGGGTAGGGAGAAAGGATAAATAGGGAAACTAATGTCTTCTAAATTTCCGTTTTAAAGTTGAGGCAGGTAGCATTGGTGAGCGCCTTGCCTGATGATGGTCCATTTTCATAAGTTTAAAATGGAGAAAGCGATGTCAGCATTTGGAATTTCAAGAGTCCTTGCCTAGTTGTAATATCATTGGAATTTAGGACCCTTTAATGTAAGTTATAGGCCAGGGTAGAGAGTAAAAAATGATCTTAATCGTCATTTATTCTATAGATATTACAAATCTTTTGTCGATGCAAATTCAACAAACTGGGCATTTTGTGCAACGCCTTAGACAAAATTGTCTTAATTAGACCGTTTTGAAACAGTTGTCTAAATGTAGACATTTTTGTTTTTTATTTACAATATACTCAAGAAAATTCATATAGCAGACGTTTTAGAATCCAAAGCCCTTTCAATTTGTCATAAACTTGCAAAAAAAAAAAAAAAACGTGAAAAAAATCATTTTAGTGGTCAAAAGCTTTTAATTTGTCACAATTTTGCAAAAGAAAATCACTCAAGTAAAATATTTTGACATCCTATCGGCCAACTTTCAGATCTTCACCAGTTTCAATGTGACACACGTGGCGTTGTCACTGGTCTAGAATACCAGAAGCTACTACCCCCAACCTCGCCCTTGTGGTACTAAGAGGCAATCGTACAGGTGAGCATGTATTTTCATCTGTTTATATTGTTCAGATTGTTAGGGGTTTTCGCGTTTCATATTCCTTCCTTTATCCCTCTTATTTTCTAGTCACTTTCTTTTTGTAGAATATTAGCACTCTCCTAAATCATACTGTGGTTTTGTGTTATTTTATAGAAATAAAATGAAATAAAATAAAATAATCGTGTTAAGAACCAAAGCATTATGAAACATAAAAATACTTGCTACAGGTAACGATGTGTAAATACCAGTGACATACATGTTCTTTGTTGCAATTACTGCAAGTTTTCAATTACTTTTCATACCTTGTTTGAAATGTTACATTTCATTTGTAGGCTACGATATGGCAGTTTTCCAGGAATAATGCCCGAACGCAAATGCCATCAATCCTAGCCAAAATGTCCAAGATGTGAAACACTTAATAGCGCTAGCATCGAACCCCTGTAGCCACTTTCATTGATGATCGGACGTCCTAGCAGTCTTGGTTTTTTAAGAACACAGCTTGTCTGCAAAAAATTGAGAATGTGGAATGGTAATGAAGAGCAATGTACTGAATGTAAGAGGAATACAACCTAATAATGTACTCGGGCCTTTTATATATTGATAATATTTGAGCTTCATATGTCACAGATATGAGTTGGGTGTAATGTTTTTAGTAAGTTCTATTTTTTCACTTAGACGACGAAACATTTTATTCCAAAAGCTTAAGAGAAAACTGACGGTCAGTATGGTCATCCATAATTCCATAAATGTTCAATTGAATAAGATGAATTGTGGTTCTGTGTGAAAATTTTAAGTCTGCCTCTACAGTTATTATTAAAACTTGAAATAGAATATCCAGTTGCTTTATCCACATCTCAATGCAGATAAGTTTTCGCCTGCAAAACATTGGTATTACCACCACTTATGGTCGTCTGTGCTTTATTTCAATCTTAGTGATGTAGTCATTTTTCAAATTTGTGCTTTTGATGATGTGGAGTTGTTCGTCAGTATAGCGTTTGAGAAGATCATAATCCGCACACTAACCTCGACTAACCCTCACATCTTTGTAAAATCCGACTTGATGTAAAGGCTTTTACATGAAGAGGTTTTACATTGACAGCTTGTGCAAAATCTATAATGAAATATTTTACGTTTGAGAAAATATTTCATTATATTTTTTGTACACAGTCTGCTCCTCGTGAGGGATGGCTGGGTGCACACAGTCATCTCTCAAGATTGAGGATCGCACATTACTAATATTATGATTTTCTCAAGTGTTATAGTTGACAAATATATCCAATTCATCATATATGCACCTTTTTCCTCCGGACCCAAAAATTCATATTGAAATTTGCATGGACGGTCATACGGTGTAATATGAAATATGTTGAAGCAGGCTTGCCTTATTCTTTACTTGTATCATACAGGTAGTTGCGATTTCAAGGCAAAATTACATTTGAGAAACTTTATTTTAAACAGTTATATGTCAAAGTTTAATTTCAATCATTGAGGTGTTTCTTTCAGTAGGAATTACATGTACTTTGGTAAATACTTGTGCTTCATCTTGTGTACCAGTATAGTGTATATAGAGAATGGTTTGCAATCACGAGAAAAAGTTCATTCAGGTGCACCATGCTGTCTAAAATGGGACGATATTTATGAACTGCAAGGCGACATGCCAATAAAAAACTGAAGTTATCATGTTTTAAAGACTGAAGCATCCGGGCGTGGGCATTTTCCCGGCATTCCCCACGAAGGGTTTAGACGGTTTTTTTCCCCACGGCCCAAGGGCATGGGGTACTACCATTTATTGATTCATTGCATTTACATAATTCATTAATGATTACTTAAGTACTTCTGAAATTGAATGTTACTGTATATAATAGTTGAATAAAACTATATTCTCCTAATTTTCTTTTTGTTTAAAAAAAAAAAAAACCGAGGCGTGCGCAGATGGAAAAATTATCATCAGACTTGCAAATTAATTGAAATGGAGTTGCATGCCTATGCACGTGGCTCGTTTAATTATATTTTCAATTACCCCTTCTCACTTGAACTTAATTTAAGATTTGGTGATTTGTGTCACATAGATTTCTTCCATAAAACTAGGCAATGTCCAGGTTAAAAAAATTATTTTTAGTTTTAGAAATAAAACTGCGGTGTTGCGTAACTTTTTCTCTGGGCATAACTCGAGCCGATACCCACACTATCCCGAGTCGGATTAGAGCCCCTAGAATCAACTATCTTACATAAATATATCCTGCTGTAGATGTAAGAATCGAGCACCTTTTGTTGTTAGTGAAGGGGTACCTATATAATGGCGAATCCAGGATTTCCTAGAGGGGGGTTCGTTTTTATTGATTCCCCCTACCCCACGAAAAAAAGCACTTTTTAAAATTCAGTGCGTTGACGGAACGATTCGAATTGAGCATTAAATAAATTATTTATAAATTAATATATTAACAATAAACTCACTAAATTCACGATGCAGGACTCGAATATTTTTGATATGTAAGAATTTTTCATGCTCGATTAACAGACCATATCTAAGATGATCTCGCGTCATAATCAGCTATGGCGGTGTTAAGAGAGGCATTTATATACAGAACAGTCGAACAGTAGATCGATGGCATTGAAAATCACAGCCTCGCAATAGAGAATTCCTGTTTAAATATAAAATTTTGCATACTTCAAGGTGACTTATTACCGTTTACATCCACAGAAAGGCAGCCAGTTGGGACATTCGATGCCACTCGCGCTTTACTCGGCTTGGAAACTTATATTTCGATCGTTATATTTCAAACGAATGCAGCTGCAGGTTATAAAACCCATCCGTGAGAAATTCACCAAACAATTTCACATCGCTACCAATTCCGTCTTTAAAAAAAAACATGAATTTATACTAGTCTGTGTTGCGTAGAGTCCTGTTTTGGTCGGTTAAAACAATTATTTTAATCATTAAATCTAACAAAAATTATTCTGACATATATTTTTAGTTTAGAGAGGTGAAATTCGTAATTTTACTCTTCTTGGTAATTTTTATCATAATTTTATCATTAATTATAATTACATTAATTACAAGGCGATAAGCGCGACGCTAATTTCCAAAACAGCGGCAAATGCATGATTACAATTTTATAAAGGTAAACAAGACATAATAAATACACCTTTGTTAGCTGTTTGTTGGTTTTAACGTTCACTGGTTTACCAACAATAAATTTACTTTTCTAATTTAACCTAACAGTAACAACGAGGATTTATTTTGTGTGAAAAAAGTGTAAAGACTGTGACAAGAGTGAGTGAAACCAACTTTCGATCTCAGTCTTTTTAAGCAATTTCTAAAGAGGCGTATTTTTCCGGATAAATGCCATCGATAATATATACGATCTAAACCGTGACTCGTGGTTTTCGGGATTTTCGACGTGCATTGTCAGTGAGGTATGAATAAAGGTTATTTGATGTGATTTGCGAATGGTGATTTTATTTTCCGCGAACTGTGATCACTACCTCCCACCAGTGGGATCCTCCTCTCTCTGCATGTGCGTGTGCTTGCTTGTGTACTTAAAGTAAGCATGTTTGTGTTTTTGCGTGAGTGCGAGAATAACGTATGTAGTAATGGCCACTAATGGACGCTACATCGCTGAGAGATAATTTGAAAATAACTTAATTCGTATCGTCAAACAAGGCAAGGGAGCAGGTTAAAACCTGGCGCCAAAATATGCATAGCATTCTCCCGCAAATTAATGGGAATACAGCTCCCAGAAGTGTTTACAATTATAATGAAGATATTTTGAGAATTATTATTTTAGTTTTGTTATTTTCAAAAATTAAGCTGTTCTCTTCAGTTTTTGTCCCAAACCTTTTTGGCCTCCTCTCGTAGCGTAGCGTGTAAATGTCAGGTTCACTGCACGACTATATTTAATATCCGCCATTCATTAATATGCTACTAAATCTATCAACTTCTCTCCTTATGCACGAGTCATCAAAATTCTAGAATATAAAAGATTTCAAAATAGTATTTTATTAATGTTATTTTATTTACAGCACTGAAGCAAGACAGACCTTTGATCCTGCAGTGACATATGTATTTGGCGTACTTGTCAGATTCACAAGCATTAAAACTAAAACCACCTAAAACACAAAACCCACTTATACAGCATTACCATCATACAAGTCTGAAATAAAATTGGATATATTCAACTAAAATTACCTCGTGTGTTACGAAGCATTGAACAGGGCATGCCTTCATGAAATTTTGAACATTTTCCCTTTTTTAGATACCCTTTGTTCACATTGGTGTTTATACTTAGACTGTCCAATACTAACATTGGATTGAAAAGAAGTTGTACACAGAAAATGGGTACCAAGGACGTCAAAAATGGCATAATTCACAAACTGTTATATATAGTAACTGGAGGGCTCCCAAATGCCCACATTTTTTTTGAAAATGCATACAAGTCAATTTTGAAATACTTATCCTGTTGAATAACTTGTAATAAATAGGTATTCCTAAAAAAGTTTTTTAAATGTAACAATATGAACCATTATTAGACAGTTCTATGTAAAAGTCTTTGGCTTCACTATAAAATATTTATAATATACAATGTATCCTAGATTCAACTTCCATATAAAATTTCAAACATTTTTTGAACACAGGGTCACAGTTACAACAAAAACGTAATAGTGCCACAACCTTCTTGGGCATAACATTTTGTTGCAGACAACATTCAGATGCTACATTTAGCAACTCTGTTTGTTCTGTAGCTCTGCATCCTGGGACATTGTTCATCTACCCAATCCACATAACTGGCCTCCTACTTATATACACTGTTCACTATCGATAACGAGGACTTCTGTTCCTGTACCTAAAATGAAAATATTGCTTATGTTTAACCTTGGTGCTACAATCTTCTTTCTGGGTAAATTTTATCATGATGTATGAATGCATTTTTTAGAAGTATGAAACTCCTGAATAACTTGTGAGTGAAGAACAATACTACATGCTCTAAAACATCATATGAATTTTAATAGGTAATGGTGTGCAGACCAATATATCAAATCTGGTAAGAAAATTTCCCTCACCCAGGTCTCTCATCTCTCATATCTCTAGCACCCCTGTCTCTGTAATCCCTAGTTGGAGGGTAGTCCCGGCCAAAGTCTCTTCCTCCCCTAGTTGGTGGCGGCGGTGGTGGTGGTGGTGACCTGTTGTGGTAACAATCATTTAATATGCACATTAAACTACACAATTATAACGTTCGTGGACAACAAACTAACTCTGAACACGTTCGTTGCTGAAGACACCCCCAAAGTCGATGATATGGTTGCACTTCCGTAGGCTGCTGATGTGTGAAGGATGAAGCGAAGAAAATATAAGGAAAAGACATAAGAAGCGGTGCCAGTGTGGATGCCCATTCTTCCTGGTGAACGCTGATCACTGAAACAAAACTATATTTCTGATTAATGAAAAGTTGCACAGGGGGAAGTAACAAGCCGAAGAATGAGCTGCTCCTCCATGCTTTTAAATCGTAGGTTGAAGGAAACATGGTTGAATTGATTTAGGATTCCACCATGCCAACAAGCAAGGGATAATTCACACCTTATTGAAAGCATGATGATCAGATGAAATGTTCGCCGGATAAACTCTTTACATGCTAGATGTAATCACCTTAACAGATTCCCAGATGCAAGGGCGCAGACTTATTGCCAACCAATGCTTCCACCAGTGACACATGTATAAGCTTTCAATATATCACTGCAATTTTGTTGCATGCTGTAATGCAACATGGTTTACATAAACATGTGCAAACAACGTCAGGGAAATTTGGAGACTCAGCCAAGATTTATAACTCCTACATCCATTTCCAGATGAAAAAGGAACCAATTTACTTTAAAGGAATGTCACAGTGGTGAACGTAGAAGATCCCTTCCCTCAAGTGAAGGCGAGACGAAGACAGGTGGTGCTTATTTTCTAACCTTACTGACTTACAACTGAAGTAACACCGCAGTGTGCAATTCTGGGATGACAAAAGGCAGTAGATGCACTCCCAGAAAAGTAGATTCAGCCAGTANCGGACTGCTCTTTCTGCTTCCCTTGTAGTAGAAAACTCCAAGAATGCAAATCCTGGTGGATTATGCGCCACCCAAACATCCATCAACTTTCCAAATCTTGAGAATTCCTTTTCCAGCTCATCCTTGCGAACGTTTGCCAGAAGATCTCCGACATAAACCCGCCGGCCTGTACCTTTGTTTGACATGGGTATAACTTTTCTGAAAAAAAAAAAAATTAAAAATGGATTTAACAGCCTTAGGAATAACCGTCGTATAGCTTCTATAGTTTGACAATATAAATATCAAGGAAAACGTTAGGACAGTAGTTACACCAGGTACGAGGCGAGGATATATACTTAGGAAAAACAAAAACAAACATGTGCGTATACGACTGCGGTAAGATTAAGTAAACAGATTCAGCTCTAGATGGTGGTTTGAAGATATTACTGCTTTCGTGAAACAATATTTTACCTTTTCTTAACGACTTCAAATGTGGATTTTCAGGACAATACGGCGAGGGGCTTCTCGTAAATAATCATGGAGCGCGATTACATCGAATGAAGAGCATGTAGTGCGGAACGGAAAGAAAAAGAAAACAAAACATCTCGTTATTATTTAATTAATCTTACTATAAGAAATCAATTAACATAAAATAAATGACATTAAAGTTAAGTTAAACACTTGTTTTTAGCTAAGTATTACATTAATTCAACTACAGAAACAAGGAAGGGTCTATTTTTAGATGCAATCGTACACAAGTTCAAGGACGTTGACAGACGGACAGCAAAATGGTTTGTGAAAAATGTAAGAACCAATTTTTTATATACGATTGGCCAATTTGTGAAATGAGTAAGATGTTAAAATGACAATTTAAGTAAAATGCAACGTACTGTTTTTATTTACCAACTCACATTTTCATTTTAATGCACAAGAGCCGGGATTGCTTTACCAGCATTTATAATTATTGCCACCTACTAGTAGCTGGTAGACTATATTGAAATTATCAACTCTGAGCTTTGCAGTGTTAAAAACTAATCACATATCCTTTGTTTAAAAGGTCAGAAGAAGCTTGGAAAAGTTGTTACCCCAGACACGTGGAAGTCTGGAGCAAGAAATACCACAGGTCAGAAACAGGTTGCACAATCAATCCCATGCATAGTTGTGATTTGTAAATGATGCTTCAGCAAGGGGGTTGAATACACTGAAAAAAAAAAGAAAAAAAACTGTAGACCTGACTAATCACAGGAAATAGTCATTCGCAAGAAACTAGGGTGATATAAAAGGGAAATATATTGCTAGGTTATTGATAACATTGACCAATCTTTACAAATGGTTATGATCTGTTTGTGAAAAATAGGGCCATCAACCATGTTTGAAAACTCAAGGAAAGCTAAGTCCATGCCATAGTAGTTTTCAATATTATAGTGGACAACCCAAAATTGGAATAATTAAAAATAAAATTTACTCACATTGGGAGTGGTTTTTCCAGTGTATTGCACTCACTGTATTGCGCTTTACTTTACATTTTAGTATGGCTGCAGTATGACTGCATTCTGTTAAGCTAATTTTTGGGTGGAATATGTAATGATTATTATAACTTCACCTATTTATTTGCAGAAGGTGGAGGCAGGAAAATAAATGAGAACAAGGCTTTGACATCAAGGAAAAATAGGTTTGTTTTCAAAAAATGGTTTATTTTTTCAGATAAACTGTACTAGTATGTGGATCTCAGTAATTTAGATGCATTAACAGATGTGAATTTAAAATCAAACTTTTGCCACAAAACCTGGTCACATGCCACCATGTCAAACATGAGTACATATTTATGCTTTTTAGGATGAAATTTTGTGTTTTAGACTGGGTTCCCATACCTAGGTCAATCCATCTGGATCGGTCTAACTTCCTGGGGAGTCTCACTAAATTGCTGTCAACTAACCAGTTTAAATGTCTGTCACAAATACTGAAGCAGCTAGGGGGTAAAGATAATTACCCCCTAACAACTTTACTAGGCGTGACAGACATTTAAGTCAGTTAAGTTTATAGCAATTATTGAGACTCCCCAGGGATATAGATCGATCCAAATATCTGTGGGAATGGTCCTGTAGTTTCAGTCCATACACATGGGCAAATTAATAGGTCAATTTAAGTCCAAAAGTTTTAAGAGGATGCAGAACAAGAGATTAATTTATTTCATAACTTGGCATGTCAACTTTTTTTTGTGGTAAGGCCACACTTTTTTATTTTTATGGATGACATCCTCTGGGGACCCCAAAATCGGTGCGAGCGGGCGAAAAAAAAAAACAGGCCAAAAAAAAAATTGCTTAAGAAAAGTTATGTTTTCAGTACACAGCTGGAAACACTAATTTACCACAGAAACACGTATCAAACTAACAACATGTCTTTATCCATGCTCTCAAAATATTAAAGCATTGTGAATAGGGCCTACTTCGTAGAAAGGTAAAAAGTCATGAATATATATATATATGCTGCATATTACCAAATCTATTTAAGGTTATTTCATGCATTCTGTTGGTATAGCAATCAATAAAACAAATATCAAATAAACAGCGTGTCTTTATTTGTACTCTCAGAAAATTTAAGCATTGTGAACACTTCTCAGAATTGTTAAAAAATGAAGCAAAGCTAGGCCTATGCTTCCTACTACCAAATCTAAAAAAGGTAATTTCGGTCGATGCCATTTTGTCGACTTCGACTCACACGTAGCAGCCAACTATCGGGTGGCCTGTCCGACCTTCAGTCCACCAAATACCACGACGCTCTTGTCGACCCTTTTTTCACTACAAAAAAAACCCTGGTAAGCCTATGTGCTGCTTTGGACAGAATGTCACTGAAATTTTCCGGGCGATGATCGCTGGTCGCGGCCAGCCTTTCGTATAATTGTAAAAAGGGGATATCTCCATGTCCAATATCAATGGCAAACCAATCCAAAACGACGGCCCCGTTCTCTTTATGACTTTAATTGTCGTGTATTTTGAAATTAATGCTAGAGATGAATTTGAAGGCAAAGCGGCCATATTTCCACGTGGTGATAATACTCATGCGCAGAAAGCTCATTTTCCGCACTCGGAACTACTCGGATGTCTCCGCAGTCGACAATGACAGCATGGAGCTTGCGGAATTGCCGATTGCATTTTCCGGCAAATTGAATAACGACGTTTGCGACAACCGACTTCCTTGGGAGGGGGGGATTTTTTTATTATTATTTTTTTTTTTGGAGAACGGACGAAAATCGGTGCGCGCGCAGGATGTCATCCATAAAATTAAAAAAGTGTGGCCTAACAAAAACTAGTGGAATTGGTTTATATGCATAACTGGGAATTCAAGCTCATTTTATATGTAACTTTAAGATATATTTTTAAGACATTCCATGCCCACCTACTTCTATAAAATGACAGACATTATGAGACATGAGTACATTTTCATGTTTTGTATGATGAAGTTTCTTTTTGTTGTAGATTCAATCCATACACATCCACATTTGCAAAGTGCAGGATATGCAAGCAGTCAGTTCACCAGGCAGGATCACATTACTGCCAAGGTACAGCTTTGTGCAAGTGTAGCCCCTATATATTTTTACTGTCAATATATATTTTCAGAATAATTATATTTTTTCAGTTTTATGAAAATGTTTGTTTGTGTGTATGTGTTTTTCTTCTTCCTTAACTTTTTCTTTGCTTTTATCTTTATTTTGTTGAATAACTGTCACTTATGATTTGTAAATTTAATGTTTCCTTGTAATGCTTTAAGGCAAATTATAAATTGAATTATGATTTAATGTATGAGATGTGAAGTAAAGATTTACATAAATTGATATAATAAGTAGTTTTTAAATTAATAATTAGTCTTATTTTTCATTGTTTTAGGCTGTGCTTATAAACTAGGTAAGTAATGAATTATTTTTGTTAATATATCAGAGACACTTTCATGAAAGAATTATGAAAAGATAACCCAGTAAGACTTAGTTAAATTCTATAGAAATGAATACATTTTCCCATTAAAATTGATGTTGATGTTTTGAATTAATTTTTTTTTCTTTTAAAGGTATATGTGCAATGTGTGGAAAGAAGGTCATTGAGACGAAAAACTACAGACAAACATCAGTGTAAAAAAGAAAAAAAGGAAGCAGCATACTGATCTATTTGTAGAGGACAGACATTTACCTTACTGCCAACAACAAGTCGAATGTGGAAAATAAAAGAAAATTAAAGAGTCTATTTTATAGTGTTGATGTATATGTACACAGTACTGTATATAGATTATTGCAAGCAACTAATAATTTTGTTTTTATGGCACTTTCCAAGTTCCAGTATTGATTTGTAGTCATGATTCAACTTTTTTCACGTATTGAACATTATACTGTGTAAGTATTGTAAAGGAATGTGTTTGTATTTAGTTTTGAATGTGTATCTTTTAACTGTACAACAAAGGGATTAGAAGTTTTTTTTTTTATTTTCTAGGGTTGGACCAGAATATTCATTATTTTTGGATAATGACATGAGAAATCTATGTTATACTTTGTAAATAAAATGATATTTTTAACAAAACTTTATTACATAAACCACTTGTTGTTGAAATTATCAGAGGACAATCTCTTGGTCAAATTTTACCATATAAATGCCATTACTTTGTAAGTCAGTGAGAGAGCTTCCCAATGGGCAAATTTGTAATACTACTGCTACCCAAGTGTGGCAGATAAAGGACTTCTAAAATTGTTACAGAGTTATCTGAAGTGGTAGGAAAGGAAAATCAAAGGTTGGTTAGTGGAGAAAAATAGCATTTATTCCAATTATATAAATTAAGCATGATTTTGGACCTGAACAATCACTGTGCACCTTTTAAAAGAAATTTTAAGCACTGTAGCTTTAAAAAGGTGATGTGGCATAAAAAGAGAATTTCCAGACTGTCATTATAACATGCCCCACCAGATAAAAGGTGAAATGTGCAGCAACTATCAGTCGGCGAATAGCTGTAAAGCTAATGTTTCCTTTCAATTTATACCCGATATGAAATAAAATTTATTGTATTGTATTGTATTGTACAACGGACGTGGCACCAGTTGAGAAATGGGGGCATTTATTTACAGTGTACATGAAAACTTTACTCTTCACTAAAATACATTATAGGTTTCAAGAGGAAAATTATTCTCATAGCTTCTGTTTTATTCGTTTATTGCACGTCTTATATATAGATCTAAGATTAAAGTTGATTTGCACTGATAAGAAAATAACTCTATTTTAAATGTCAGAAACGAGTGAATGGCACGCCAGAACGAGGCCTCTTTGTGGAAAAAGAGCGCTTTTGTCCAGGCAATAATGCGCGCGCACAACACCGCCATTTTCGAAACAATTAGTAACGATAGTCCGTGATTATTTATCCCATATTTTCTTAAAATACGCTTAAACGTTTATTTAGCATGGGACAGGGAAAGAAGACTAAAAAGCGCTCAGGTTTATCTCATAATAGGACAGATGCAAGTGAGTAGAAAAAGGAGCATGGCATTGTAAATTCACTGTTGGTGAAATTGTGAAGCTCCCGTTTTCTACAATGTTGTTTTCTGGAGCTTTATAATTGGACTGCAACATATATGTGGTCAATAAATGGATAATTTATTTCACTGCAGTAATTAATGCGCCACATAATGGTACTGTGGATTGATATAAGGCAATCAAATGGAGACTAAATCATGAATGTTTTCCCTGCACCAATTTTTGTATTCCTGCGAGAGAGTACAGGGGTAGCGAATAATGCAGACGTTCATTAGATTTTACCAGTTGTATGCATAGCAGCAGATCATATTTCATTAGACCTTATCCGTCCATTATAACATATATTTTTAATTTTTCCCATTACCTTTACATAATCTCCACTGCCATTGCAATGACCTTATTAGTATTGGAGTATTGGATGAATGTTTCCTTAACATCTGTTTTCAGGCACATCTTCTAGTGAAGATGATCAAAAGTTGAAGAAAACTAAGGTGACAAAGAAACGATTGTCAAAAAAGTCCATGGTAAGCGATGTTGTGAATTTGAAGAAGTTTAACAATAATGTTCAATTTTTGGATTGAATGAGAGAATGTTTTGTGGTGTTGTCAAACTAGGGAATTATATCTTAAACTACTAGTATGATATAATTCCCTGGTCAAGCCTTTCACAAAGAAAATTTAAAAAATAACGTAAAATATTTTATAGTACACTAGTATGTATTTTCTTTTGGTCAAATGAATAGCCAGATATTTCACATTTTTTCAGATGGTAGCAACAGAAAATGTTGTAAATTTGTGAGAAAAGTTTTATTAATTTATTTATTTTGGAGGGGGGGGGGGTCTTACTTACTGTAATGCCAAATGCAGCTGAATGGAAGTAAAGCTAAAGGAAGGATTTTCCTTTTTAGATCTCAAACACATCAGAATATGATGGGGATTGTGAAGAAAGCACAGAGGCATCTACGCAGCAGTCAGATACCAGCATGAAGTCAATAGACCTGTATGATTTTCAGGAAACAGACAATGAGGCACCAGACACTTCATCTCAAATAAAAAAGAAACAGCATTTAAAAAGCACCAAGATGAAACAAACAAGAATAAAAGATCTGAAAGCCAATTCCAACAAAAGGATGCCCAAAAAAAAGAAAGAGAGCGAATCAGTTTCTCATACCCAGGAATCAGAAGTACCACAATTTCCACTCGGTGACAATTGTATAGAGTTTGAACTAGTTCATGAGGTATCAGAAAGTGAAAGAAAAAATAGATCAAATCAGAGAAGCTCAGTTTCTGTGGAAGACAAGATACAGTCTTCTCTAAGTGATGTTGAAATGAAACCCACTGATATGAACCCTTCAGTGAAACTTACCAAGATTGAAATTACTCAACATAAGTTTGATGTGTCAAATAATAAGGGACAGAAACGAAAAATGTCACAAGAAAACGAATCTAGTAAGAGGAAAAGTATGAGAATAGCTCAACATGGTATGCAAAATGATAGTGTTTTTTTATCCCCTCCACTTCCACGTCGTCCAGCCAAAACTAATGAGATGAAAGAGACATCAACACCAAATGTAACAAGGAACTCCAGAGGTAATTCAAGTTATCTTCTATAATTCTCTTTTAACCTAGCGTGTCTGTCGTGCTTTGTTGATATTCCACTAATTAATAATATATGAACTATAATGATTTCAACCTTATCCAGTTTCAGATCTTTGGCTTTGTTAATTTTGGAGGACTGTAAAAAGAAATGCCATGTGAAAGTCCTTTGTCATCTTCATAGACTTATTTACTAGTACAAGTATCTCCTTAAAGTGATATTGAATGTTAGTTGTGTGAGAAAGTGTGATAACATGGCCTCATTTTTTTCTTTACATGGGTACTCTCTGCATGTGGATAGAACTTATGAGAAAATGCTTTTTCACATATTCAGTGTTATTATTATTATTATTATTATTATTATTTTGCATGTGCAGATTCCTGTTTTGGATTTGAATCCCTGACAACTGCAGAACCCATGTTATCCCCTGTGCGTTTCACCAGTCCAACTTCTGATTATGGGTCAATGATGTCCAGCTCAGCTCAGTCCTCCACAGCGTCCAGGTTTGACACAAGTAGCTGGAGAGACAAATCCAAAAGAACCTACACTAGGAGAAGTGCATCTCTTGGTATGATGAAATATCATCTCTGTGTTTCTGAGATAACATGTACTTGAAGCCCATTATGTCACAAGACTAAACTTGATAGAAACTAAAACTTTTCTGTCAATTTATTAATTAATTGCCCCTGAGACCAAAGTTGAAACTATTGTTCATTTTCAGAATTGAATCAGTGATTAAAGAAGTTTTGTTTGTTTTGCAGGTAAGAATGCACCAGAACCTATACTGTATGATCTGTCAGTAGCAGATGAAAAACAAAAGCGGGTATCAAAGCCAAAAAAGAAGAAAGAAGTGGTAAGTAGATACTATTTTCATATTTTTTCTTAGGACTTTTAAAAATGAATAAGTACTTTGTTTTTTACTTATTTAAAAAGTACATGCTTGCATAATTTTCCAAAAATCTGCTATTCAAAAAAGTTGCTAGGTCTCTGCCGTTTTAAATCTTTCTTTCTATTGCAGTTGGCTAAATACGAGGACTGGGCAGACAAGATGAATGCAGAGTTTGAAGAAATTGAGATGCACGAGCTTAGTATTGAAGGATAAATATATTGTATCTCTGAAAATGTTTTAGTGTACTGTACCTGGCAGTTGAGCTTAAAAACTTTTTCCTCGGGTGGGCAATTATTAATTTATTTGAGTGAAAAACCAGTTACAACGTTCTCCCTGCTTTTGTCATAAAGTAGTAGATACACGTTTTAAGAGAAATAAGCTTATAATTTTTTTTTGACGAGGGTGGATTATACATTTTTATCTGATAAAATGAAAAATACCAAAGAGTTGTGAAATGGTTATAATATCTGTTGTGCAGTAAGCTACTGGACAATACATCAGAAAAGTGCTTACTAGTTTTGGAAGAGAAATTAAATGCTGGCAGGCATCCACTGCTTTCTACAAAGCAAAGCATGCAAGTGGCATCTTTGTTGAGCTCAGTGATTTATTGATTATTAACTTGGTATTCTAAAGTATTTGTTTAATAGTATGTAGAACAATATGTATAAATGGTCAATTGTAGTGCTGTAAATTTTTAACTAAGTTTTCTTTATGGATATGCATTTACAGGTGATATATTTACATTGACCTACTGCATTTTGAAAGAAATATTTCCTGACGTAAAGATATGAATTATATTTTTCCATATACTATTTCCATTTATACATTATTTTGAACACTCATGGCTTTCATTGTATATTTTGATGTAAATAATTTGAGTTTTTTTAAGTTAGGTACACCTGACACAGCTAGATTTAGCTTCATGGAATCAACTTTTATGTCACTTCACTAGTTACTGAATAAAGAACATACAATTGCCTCTCAAGTAGTATTAGAAATGTATAGATTTAATGCTTATGATGTTTCATAATGATATTTAAGGGTAGTCACTTATGTAATAATTTGTTGAAATCTTGTTTAGGGGCCCCCAATTCATGGACTGATCAGTAGATGACAATCAAGAATCTAAAGCATTTTAGTTGCACTTTTACAAAGGACTTTGGATTGAGCTTACCCCAATATCAAAATCTAATTGTCTTGATGTCAATGGTTAGATAGGGGAAACTACTGTAGCTACTTTTGACAAGTCAGCTTTTTCAATGGGCTCAGCTATTTCTGCCAAAACTACAATGAACCCCATAGAACCAAATTTCTTTTTTGAAAAGTGATATAATTTTATGAAGGCATTGCCTTTTAAGTGCTATGAAGTTTGATCACTCCACCACACATGCCTGGAATAGAAAATCAAACACTGCACCAGCTGGATTGTTCCAACTCTGCGGAGGATCCTCATTGAAGTGCAAGTGAATGCTTTTTGTATTGATCTCAATAGTTAATTATAGTAATTTGCTTGAGAATAATTGCATCAAAATTAAATAGATAAGGTCATCCTACTAAGCGGACACAACAAAAATCCTGAAATCGGGCATAATTCTGAAAACTTTCACCAATGCCTTTATTTTAGTTATCCAAATGGCTTTTGGTCAGTAATACTAAATACTAGGACACATACGGCTGCACATCAAACTTTTGCTATTTTCCAACATAAAATGCATTCCTAAGTTCAGTATCTTCTTATTAATGGATTAACCAGCCAATTTTACAGTAGCCCTCTTCCATTTCTACCAAGACCTTGTAATTACACAAAAGAATGGTATGAATTTCTAGTGTTAACTATACCAAGGAGGTTTAGGGGATAAAATTCCTAGACTATACAAAACATCAATTAATTTTCTTTAATTAATTAATTAAATTAATTAATTTTAATTACATTTTCATCGCTTTCAATATTTCACAATCTTCACAAAATCTTCCAATGCCTACATTTGAGAAAATAGTTTTTCCGTGCTTTTTGTGAAATATTTATCTTATAGGTTACAAGTTCTTGAGCACTCCCCTTTCTGCTGCTTTCACCACCCATGCGCTTCAGCACATAGCCTTTGGTTTTTATATTTCTTTGCCCACAATCATGATGTTTCAAATGTTTTATCCCCGTTTTCTGATATATCATTAGTAAATTCCCGTAGTACCTTTTAATGTGATCAAAGAGGCATTAAATTGTGTCAATAGCTGTTCAATTGAGGGAGATCAGTTGGAAGTCAATATATTACATTCCAACCCCACCCCCCTGCACAAAAAAAAAAAAAAAAA